AAATTTCCGTTACATCATAAAATAAAAATTGAAGGTGCAAATCTGATACCCTAATTTGCGCACGATTATGTGCGCGTAGAAGGTCGAAGCTCTTTTGATCAAGTAATTATTCAAAAGAACAATAGAATGAAAGTCCTTTCTCTGTTTGGTGTTATTTTTAGCCTAAGTGAACTAATCTGGACCCGAGAAAAACCGCAAATTGTTACGAAAAAAAGATATATTGATTAGCGGTTGTGTAATTGTTGCCGGCAGTATTTTTCAATGGAATGTCAATAATCTTTGTCTTGAGATGTGTAATGCTTGACGTTTCCATGACGTCGGGCATATGGCCCGATTTTTAAAGTCATCAAGGAATCACTCTGTTGACATGAAATTGATTTTGAAATTTCAGGAGGTCAATTTTCCATTTGGACCCTAAATCCTGAAAAAGAAGTGATTCTTTCTTGAAGTCCGGCGGCTTCCTGTTTTGGCGAGAAGTTCTTAGAAGATTCTCACTCACAGCTGCCATTAAAGGTTAAAGTTAAATGAAAAATTGTGACACTAGCAGCAAAAAACTATCTAAATAAAATTCTCAAAAACTGGCACAGACGAAACCACCTGAAGACGAACTTGAAAGCCGTAATTGCTGTAGTCCGACAGTTTGGCGCGAACAACGTGCTAAAGATAGGTTAGTGGTTGACAATAATGATGCGGGCTCTTTTGTTGTAGAGCACTTGACTCACGACCTGAAACGATTGCAAGACACGCCACTGAAGAAGAATTGAGAAAATACTTTGCGGTACATCTAAATTTAATTTCAAACTGACGATAAATGTCGAACATTAAAAATCAACAACAGCTTGGGGGCAAAGGTAATGCGGGCAAAACAAAATTAAAAAAAAGTCCACAAGAAGTTTGAAGTTGAGTTTCATTTTTCGTCTCTCATTTGACCACTACAAGTGTGTCCCCTTTCATTTTTCAGGGAATTAAAATTATTACCAATATCCACAGCAGATATTTCTTGTACTAAAAAAAAAAAAAAAAAAAAAAAAAAAATTATGACAAGTTTCCAAAACATGCCAAGTATTCAAGTTGTTGTCTTGCCGGAGTATGTCATCGTTGCTATTTTAAAAGGTAACCTACAAATGAAAATTTTATAAGTCCACAAAATTCCAAAGAAATATTTCCATGTTTTCTAAACAAGTATTTTTGAACATTAGATGCAGAAACCGAAGTGTGAAAACAGATCGATTACAAACTTCAGGTAAAATCAACTGCAACTGTGAAAAGAGCCATTTAGCACCGATAAAACTAACAAGTTTGTCTGAAACGGAGAGTAAGTTGAATTTAACTCTACAATGAAAAAGAACGTTACGGCCTTCCTGATTGTGAAATACTCTAGGCTTAATGACAAGGTTACAAGTATTTAACAATCCAGCATACCTTATATCTCTATTTAGAATTACGCTATTTAATGCTTGTCAAAACTGGTTTACAGGTCTTTCAGTGGCAAGTAAGCGCAATGTGCTTTTGACATAGTATGAGCACATGGTCAAACCAGCTCTTAAATCTATCCAAACATGAACTGTTATATTGAAAACCGACTTACTAACCTTGGAATCAAACCTACATATCCATATTGTTCGCAAAATTTAGTCATCAGCACGTTTCAGTCGTGGGATGCAGGTCTCTACGAGGAGTTCATTCGAAATCGAAATCACGGATCACGCTAGTAGCTTTCGAAAGTCGTCTTTTAGTTTACACGTATCACAAAATACATCAGTTAGAAAACGTTGCCAAATAGCAAAAACTTCATTGCTTGGGTTGCCTGTGGCATTTCCTGTTTCCATGAAACATTACATGCATAAAATACCATGTTGAGAAAGAGAACGTGACTGTCTCCAGTGCGGTATCTGTTTGCTTTGTAATGAGCACGGATATCCGCACGGGTGCCCAACCGGAATCTCCTGTCTGACATAAGAGTCACTTGTGCTATTATGGAAAACAATTTAGCTTTGAGGCTCATCGACATATGACAGCAAAGGCTTGCGTACGATATCTGAAAACAATAGTTATGGCACGGATCTTGATAAACAGATCCAGTACAATTCCGAAACACAACTCTGCTTTTCTTTAATGGATTGCAAGCACCTTTAATCCCAACTGTGTAAAGCTAAAAGTTCAATTCATTTTCGTTCGCGAATCAGGCCGATCGTGTAGAAGGAATAGCTAACAATATGGCAGAAGTAAGCATATTCAGAGTTCTTGGCTCTCACTACCAAGAAATGAACTGCTCTTAATCTCCGAGACAAAAGTCATGCCATTCAATGAAACCCTGTACTTCTAAGATCTAAATATAAATTTTCTGCATTATCTGCCATCAGGTGATCTCTTATCAATTGTCCAATGGTTGGTATTTTTCTTTTGTCTCATTCAACTTTCTACCGAAACATGTTTTAATATTATAAGAAATTAGTTCTTGGACAACAGTGGAACTGCTTAGGTATGTAGAAATAGGAAACATCTATGTAATTCACAATTAAACCCTAAATGGGAAAAAAGTTGGAAAGAGATTTCTAAAGAATGTCTTAGATGCGGTAGCTTGGCAAAACAAGTCCGAGAATTCATAAACAGGAAATCTGAGATAATTGTATCAAGTAGTTTGACCTGCTTTACGAACGAAAAGAACCCATTACGGTCGAAGCATAACTAACAAAGGCGAGGTCATTAATCTTTCCTTTTGCTTTGGTCTGACAGAAGGGGGTTTAAGTCTTCCATACTTTTTGTGAAAAACATCAGTAATTAGATCTCTGAAGTACTGAGAAAGTAAGTACCTCTAACAGTGAACAACAGAAATTCAACACGGCTTGATGTATGATCCAGGAACATTTCGAGTCTTCTTTGTACGTTACACATTCTTTTCGCTGAAATTATTACAAGTGCCAAAATTGATAGATAAGCCACCAACAAGGATCAAAGATGGTTAAGGGGTAGAAAGAACAAAACAGCCCTCCCAAAATGAAAAGGATTGGTCTCGAAACACTTGAATGAAACTTGACGGTATGCCCAAAGACTGTAGCTATGTTGAGCTTTCATGGCCGAGAGATCAAATGTAAAACATGCGATTAACATTTAATATCAATAAAAGTACAGAGCCGTTGTAATAAGGAAATCTTTTAAGTGTCGGGTTTTCCTTCTTCAACACTTCAACACAACACTTCGAAGCCCCCCAGCACATACCGCCAAGGGGCGAAGGAAATCCGCTTGCTTTCTACAGGACGGTTGCATTACAAGTAGCCCACCTCGTGAAGAAAAAGTTGTCGACCTTTCTCGGAGGGTTATCATCAACGAGCACAATAAGTAGTGCTTCAAATTTCCCGTTTGTTCTTCTACTCTAGACAGATGGAAGCGCAGAAGACTCAGGTACAGGTAACTGTATTTAAGCGGGATTACACTTGCGGTAGATAAACACGTCTTTCATACATTCCACTCAATTTTCGGCACATGATGTCGCATATCAGGAGAAAATTGACCTACCTTGACCGAGTTATCGATCTCCATTGATGGATTCAGTTGTTGGAATACCATCACAACACACTCAGAAAAAACAAACAGACGAAAGTTTAACAATACGGCGTGAATGATGATACTCTTACACTTACTGTGACGGTTTATGGTTCTAATTTTCCACGTCATGCTTTCTAAAGCATTCCCTGACTTTCCACAACACTAAACGAGTAACAAGAGCTGGGCCACTGAATTTTGAGTGTTTTGTTTGGCGACAAACAAAGTTAACTCCATTTTGAAGGAAACTACAAAATATGAATATAGAAAGATAGCAGGAGGAAGAAAAATTGAAGATGATAACGAGACAGAAGAAAATTGTCAAAATTATCTCGCGATTCGTAAACGCTTGAAACGAGTTCAATGCTGAAAAAGGATCATTAACTGGATGATTTGCTTTATCGCCATTTTATTCTACAACTGGAAGCTGATTGAGTTATCTTAAAAAAACATAGGTAATTTCTAGTAAATCAGTTTCATAACTTCTCTGGTCCTGTATCAAACCGGATGACATTTTGACCCAGATCTTAATTTCTGCCTATTTTTTGTTTCGTTTTTTGTCTGTGTGTGTTTGTGTGGATTTTGTTTATGTTTGTTTGTTTGTTTTTTTATGGTACAGCTATCCTACGAGGTTAACTATTTATTTAATTCAAAATGTATTTATGAAGAATATCTCATACGAGAAGCAGAGTAGTGTCCAGTCTGTAACGACCGCAAGCCTTAATGTGAATGACTCATCTGCAGTTGTCTCAAGCGAGTGGCGGACAATGTCCACTGGTCCGTCCACTGTCTCATGTTCAAGTCATCCAACTTCACCCACGGTACAACAAACTGAGCTGGTTGCTCCCACCTAGTGGTGATAAAACTGCATTAAAGCTAAGCTTAACGAAAAAGTTCTGCTTGGTTATTTAGTTTTTTTCGGATCCTCGACATGTTTAATACCCTCACCCTCGACATGTAACCCTCGACCAAAAGGCAGACTCGCTTGGTTGATTGGTGTCTTAAGTAAACCGCAACTGCACGGGTTTTGCTTTGTCGCTCAGTGATTAGTCAAAATAACTGACGCCTCCCTTTCACCCAATCAGATGTGAAATTAAAACCAATCACAAGTTAACCCCTAATTGTACTGCTGGCAGCCTGCTTGGTTTTTCGCTGATTTCCCTTTGGTAACTTCAGGCAGTTTTATTGTTTTTACTTCGAGTTCTAATTGGCTCCTGGTGATATTTTCCTTGCTATGATTGGCTGTTGTGGTTGCTTTCGTTTTTCAATCGAAAAGCGCTCTATCAGTAGTGATCAAAGACCACATCAGTTTTTCAAGAATACTGAAGAAATTAAAGAACAGAATGTTCGTATGAGACTAAGATACCAGTTGGCACGCTTAAGAACTATCTGTGGAAAAATATACTTCTTGTCCTCAACCGGACGTCCTCTCTTCCCTCCAAATAAAAAAAAGGATCTCACCATGAGCTTACAACGTCCTTAACAGAGATACAGTCTGACAAAGCTTTGGTGGTTTTGTTGAGGCCTTTCTGTATCAGTGGCATGATGTAATCAAGTTGAGCGCGGTCCTGTTCAGCAACTTCTCTCCGCAAGCCTGTCGACCAAAATAGGAAAATTTAAAACTGTCATCTGTTGCTGCCATCACTCTACTCATGACTGTCAAATCTGTATGAAGCGGTCACCCACACCCACGGGGCAATGACATGGAGACCGCTTAATACAAGTTGACCGCTAAAAACAGGTTCTACAGAATAGGGTATTACAAAAAAAAAATAAAATAAATAAAAAAAAAAAAAAATTAAAAAAAAAACATAAAAAAAGTTATCCCATAATTGACCACTTAATGTTCATGCAAAAACTCACTACAAAAAAATACTACAAACATTGGTTTCGGGAGAAAAATATGGATTAAATTTTGCTTGAAAGATTATTCTTAGTTTGTTTGAGTGGTCCTGATTCAATACAGGTGGTGGACAATACAAAAAGGCCGTTGGGGCTCAGAAAAAGATGACCAGGACCGCTTAATAGAGAAGGAGATTTAAGTACAGTCTGTAATTAGGGGGTAAAAACTTCAGGATTTTGAGAAAACAGGTTCGACTGTATTTATCACGGGATAGATAGCTTGTATCGTAACCAATCAAATTGCGGCATTTGTGATGCTTATACTAAGAGTGATAGAGGGGATTTTTTCGTACAAAATTTTCCAGAATGTAAAATCGCTGCTCCAAAATATAGAAACTAGCCCAAACGTTGCAGGAAGACCACTTAGTACAGATCTCAGCACTGAAGGATACCCAGGCTCCTCTCCTTTCCTGCACGCTGAATATTGATGACCACTACTTACCGTTCAAATGCACAACCATCCTATCACATGACCCCTCACCGCTGACTTCAGAAAACATGCTATTACGTGATTGTACCAGAATCTTCACGTCGTCAACTTTAATAGGGTAAGAAACACACGAACGTCAGGATTCTATTGACTGACAGAGTTTAATAACGACAAGAAAAACTGTTCGAACACAAAACGAACTTTTCCAGGTACTTACCTTTCTCCTTTAGATTCATGGTTGTTGGAAGCAGTTCTTCAGGGGCCTGGATGAGAACAAACCAGAAGTGATTTTTCTCCTTTGTCCTGCGCTAGTTGTGCGCTAGTTGTGCGCTAGCTCGTGTGCTCACTCGTGCGCTCGCTCGTGCGCTCGCTCGTGCGCTCGCTAGTGCGCTCGCTCGTGCGCTCGCTCGTGCGCTCGCTCGTGCGCTCGCTCGTGCGCTCGCTCGCTCGTGCGCTCGCTCGTGCGTTCGCTCGTGCGTTCGCTCGTGCGTTCTCTCGTACGCTCGCTCGTGCACTTGCTCCTGCGCTTACCATCTTTTTAAATCCACCTACTAAAATGGCGCGTTGTTAGCAGTGTGCAGGACGCGTGTTTCATATCATTATGGATCTAAAAATGGCCCACGAATAAAGGTGGTAAGTTTCTAAAGGAACTGTGTTGCTGCTTCGGTGGGAGTACACGATTATTAGGTTGTATCAAATGAGTTAATATTGTAAATTGGCCACTACAAAGAGTTAAGTGTCTCTAAAGCTGACGTTTCGAGCGCACTTCGAGATCAAAACGAGCCTCTCACGCTAACCTTATACATTGGAAAGTCCAAACTGTCTAAAACAGCTCTGATTGGTCCTCCGCCTGCACTGGTGGTGAGATTCTCCAAGCGGTTAATTGATAATTCACTGACTGGAACTCTTCTGGCACTGTGCACAGAAAGCGAACAGGATCAAAACTTTAAAACCCAACATTGATATGCATATTCCCACCCTGTTCTCTATTCAGTAGCAAATGGCTCCGACAAGGAGGATTTGATTAACAATCGAGAGCCTCTTGAGATAGCGATCGTTCTGCCACTTATTCTCATGACCTAAATGTTTGATTCAGGGAATTTCTTGTATTTTTTTCCTACCGGCTTTTTTCAGGGGTGAATTGGAGAAATTTTGTCCAGCGAGGACAAATATTTGCGGTTCGGTTTGCCTATAGCCACTCATTACTCGCCTGTCCACACCGGAATAATGAACTTGACCCAAAGGTAACGCAGCAAACTTGTCCACCTCCCGTGCAGTACTGTTCTGTAGCTGTTTTGTCATGGCAACTACGTGTGCCTCGTGCGAGCAGATCTTTTGCTGCATGTACTGGAGGAGCTAAGAGGCAAACACAAGGGAAAGAGAAATGATAAGATAAAAAAGTATGCTACAGCCCTAAAATAAGCACCAACGCGCCGACACTGGCTGTTGGCACTAGTTCTTTTGGTTCCAAAAAATTATAAAAAAAAAAAAAAGGTACGAAGACATGAACATCACTTTTATCCTTACTAGGCCGTAACTGGAGCAGTATGTTTCGCGCTTTGCAAGGGACGCAGGAATGCAGATGTCTTGTCGACGCTCCATGCGCCACTTGGCATCTGAAGGACCGATATAAAAGGTGCTTCTTAACCATTTAGCTTCCAAGATCTCAATAGTAATTCTCCTTACTGTGTCCCATACAATTTTTATGATGCGAGTTTAAGAGAGTTTGGTATTGGATCAACTGACAATCCCTATTTGGTATTTTTCATTATTCTCACCACTCGTCTGCTTGATATTGTATTGATACTGTTAGGAGAAATTCTGTCTTGATGACTCACGGGCGTTAAAGGGTTAACACAAAATGAAGACTGATGACTCTCACCTCCTGTTTTTGATTCTCGATCCTTGTTCTGGCGTTTGAGTTTTGTTTGACAAGAGCTTGAATCAAAGACTGTTTTGTTTGCTGAGAGCAGAAATATGTATTAAAACTGGAGCCATTTGCAACTAAGAGTCCAAAGTAAGCCACAATCCTTAACAAATGGTAAACACCACAGCGTACACTATTGAGTTATGGATGCACGCGGGAGGTTGCTAAGCACGAAAGAAGCGTAAGAGTCGCTCGAGGCGATAGCCTCTAGCTTC